ATAGGTGAAAATGAACAGTGATTTCGCCTACCCCCATCACCGTCAAAGTTCATCGCGCGGTCACGATTGTCCGATAGTGTTTCATTTTTTATTTTTTTTCTACAAATCGGAATTACTTGAAATTTGAAGCTTGTATTCATAAAAAATAGGGGAATCTTCGAAAGAAAATTTAAAAAATATTTTACATAAAAAAAATTGACCAAAATACCCCCAAAATGTTTCAGGGGTATTTTGATCAATTTTATTTCTCGGATAATTCTTTTTATATTTTTATTAAATGCACCTCAGTAAGATATACATACCCTCTATATTTCAGGTCATTTCGATTTGTAAAAAAAAATAAAAAATAAAACACTACCGGACAATCGTAACCTCGAGATGAAATTTGGACGGTGATGAGGGTAGGCGAAATCACTATTCATTTTCGCCTATAGGCATTGGAAAGACTTTTCCATATATATATATATATAGAAATGACCCTCCCCGACCCATATGTGTAGGATCCCAAAGGATCACCATTAAATTTGGGACGGATCTCTAAAAAAGTTAAATCCCGCACCCATGTGATAACTTTTCTAGAGATTCGTGCTAAATTTAATGGTGATCCTTTGAGATCCAAACCATCTCAAAAAATCAATGACATGGTTAAACCAACCGATGAAGTGGTTACATTAAAAAGAACATTCATTCAAGTACCTCCTCAACTGCTTTGTTAAAAAATACCCAAAATGCCTCTTTTCAAAATATGAAAATCCTAAACAAGCAGCAGTATTTTGGTAACTTTACTCAAATGGCCTATGCCAAATGATAATACCTTTGCCCTTTTAAGTTTCCAAACCTGAACATGCCTTTTATTAAAATCTCTTCCAGGTTTGGAACCCTGAACAATCAAGAGTATTTACATCATTTTGCTCAAGCGGCCAAACCAAATGACAAAACTATCCCCACTTGTTTTGGTTCTCAAATCCAGAAGACACATTTTTTTCATTAGAAACCTTGTTTCAAGTTTCAAATCCGGAACAAGGGGCCATTTTGATAATTTTCCTCAATTGTATTATGGGGAGAAATTACCAAAGGTCTAAAATAGCCCTACTTGTTTAGGATCCCTAACATTGAATATGGGCATTTTGAGAATTTTTTAGCAAAATACTTTGGTAACAAACGTAATTTTCACCACACCTTTTGAGGTAGTTTAACCATTATAATGATATTTCCCTCTAGAATATTTCTCCCGTTGGGTTGCTTTCTTGGGCAGGTGCATATATTACACTTTCTCAATACATAAAGGACAATGAGCACCTATTGATCATTACAATTTTTCTCTGTTTACTTACTTTAGCAACTTCAAGTACATACTGGCCCAGTTCTGAATGCTTTCTTACACAATGACGGACTTTATGTGATTCCTCGATACAAGAATTATTTGTTAAGCCTGCCACCTGTTAATATTTTATGAGAAAATATAGTAAAAAACACAAAGAAACCATAGAAATCAGAAAATACCAGTTAGAAACGAGTTCAATCCCAAGTGTTTTGAATCCCTGAATTTGAGTTGGAGGTTTCATAAATGAAGAAAATTGGAGCAAAAGAAAACGATTTTATCATGTAATAGTTAAGCCATGATTTCAAAAGACCAGTATTCAAATTATAGACTACAAACTCATTGCTTCATTTTTCTTTAACTTCCTTAGCTATTCAATGGAGTTAATGGCCTATACACTCAGTTAGCATCAACACTTAAATGTCTAAAATAATAATATGACCAATCAAGAATAATCACCCACATCAACTATGAACATTATGAGCCATTACTTTCCTTACATAACAACTTCATATGCATTTTAGTTACTTAGCTAAAATAAAAAAGCCATGCAAAAATAGAAGCTCTAAATCATATCTGACAATCATAGACCAAAACATTTTAGTAAAGGGAAAAAAAAATTATAGTAAAGGAAGGGCCGAAACAAGACTAAATAAACACTCTCAGTCTTCAAAACAATTGTCAATCATTTGGACACAAAACAATAGCCTACTCAATGTCCATCTGTACTAAATAAAAGACACTAAGATTGCTAGAATAAATATACAGGGATCTTCAAATCTTCTCCACACAGGATGAACTCTCTCATCCTTAAAATGTTTGGACATCAAATATCCCAACCCTCTAGTGCATAACATTAATTAAGGGGAGAACTTGATAATAACACAAGGATATGATAAAGCTTTTAGTTATTTTCATGCTTGGCCCCAAACACGAATTGCAACAAAAGGTGGAAGTAATCACTTTCCAGTTTTCTTTGGATCTGGATACCAGAAAACAATAGCACTGAAAATTAGTCATTTTGGACTAAATTTACTAATTTTGCCACATTGTTTTATCAGCTCATTCCAGCACTCCAACCAGAAAAAGCAACTTGGGATAGATCCATGTTTTACCTTCCCTTCCACAATGGTAAAGAATGGGATCTTTTAGACCCTGGACTGCCCAAAAAACAATAGTATTCCAATCTTGGGACGTACTTAATTCGATAATTTTAAGACTTGTTTACAATTATACCCAATTGATCACAAAAATGCTTCAAAAATAAGCTAGTTATATTTTTTAAAATCTTCATTAACCACCTTTGTCTTTTTTTTCAAACTTCTACTTCAACTCATGGAAAACAGAAAATATTAAATTATCTGGTCACCTTTCCAATATACATTGGATTCAACAGCAAAATTGTTTGTAGTTTGGACCAATTTTGATAGCATTGGTTCAAAGCACCATGAAACTTTGATTGTGAGGTGGAATTGTCATGCCAGTAGGAGAATGAGGTAAACCAAATGTTGATCTCAAAATGATTACCTAATATGTTGTCAAGAAGATGCACAACCAGATTTTCCAAATTTAAGAATCAAGAATCTATTTCAAGTTATTACATAGCTAAAAAAACATACAAAACCAAGAATCTGTGCCACTCGAAGATAAATTCATGTAATTGATAGACATGCACTAAAAAAGAGGTCATGTTTCAAAACTATATGCTTGCACTAACTTAAGTATCTAAAACAAAATGTCAAATGATATTATGAAGCAAAAAAAAGTAAAACAGTCATCAATGGTAAAATATTCCATGAGAAAGTTCAACTAGCTCACTTTATTATCCACTGCATTACACAAGCATTTCCTTTGCATTTACATCATAAACCAAGACACTTGCAATTTTACTTTTTCATTACCTGAAAAGTGGCTCCATTGTGAATGATATCGTGAGCTAAAGGTTCATTGATAAATACATGCAAGGGCATCATGATGTCTCTCATGTTGTATGTATCTGCAATTTCTCTAAGCTCCATAGCTCTGCCTCCTTTCCTTGTATCTCTCTGTTTGATACACGAGACATAACAACAATGAATGCAGGCCTAAGATATAAAGAAAAGTTTAGCATACACAAATTGTGTGTTATACCATCCAAAACTGGGCAGCCACCATCAGACCTCATCAATGGATGGTGGAGATGAACCGTAGGTCCATTCGACACATGATGGCAGACATTTGATGGAACTGCTATTACAGATGTTGGATGCTCATCTGTGAATGGTATAACACAGTCTCTGTATGGTATACTTTCCCAAAATTGAGAAAGAAAATAGAAACACATTTTCATAATAAAATTCGTATGTCCTAGCACTTAAAGTGCCGCATGAGCATGTGAATGCTAAATGAAAATTGAATTGCTTGAATTTAAGAACACCAAAACCAAATTGAAAACACCAGAGAAGTACATTAGCTAGATATTGAGAGAGGAACCATGACTGCGAACTATTTAATGCCTATCTTTCTTATTGCCATGAAGAAAAAAAAGAAAAATAGTTAATGGAAGAGGTCTTAAGAGCTTCTTTTGCAGCCATAAATGGGGGATTGTCTTCATTAAAAGAATTCAAGTGAATAATTGGATAATTAGAACATCAGCTCACCATCAATACAGAGATAACATTCCCCAAGTTTCTTTAGAGCATTAACTGCATCATTGGCCTCCTTATGGACATGATTAATAAATATGCTAATAAAACATATATCTCAACAAAACCAATCCACCTCCACTACATTTGCTAAATATAACAATTACCCCTCCATCAGCAATATCACCTACTCAAGTGATCAATGCCCTATTCCACTCATTCCTGATGCCCCATACAATAGCCAGAAGACATAAAAAAACAAGGCAAGTCCCAGTCATAGAAGGGCCACTGACTCATCTGCTGACTTATGAAGAAGGAAATAGTGTCCCATTTGTTGGATATGACTATGATCACTCATCATGATCTATCATTCATTTTAGACATAAGAATTTCAGTCCTGCTGCTCCTCGCTATTTAAGTTCCATTAGAAAACTAAAACCTCACTTCAAAGGAAATGCTCCTCATGCAAAATCACTGAAAATAAAAACACCTTGGGAGTGATTTATTATACATAATGTAAACATGGAGCTCAAGTAGGGGAAGCACAACATACATACCAAGTATAGTTCATCTAGTGTAGGCTTGTCTCCAATGCTCATCCTCGATGATGGATGGCGGAGAAGAGCCTATCTATACTCTCTACAAACTGTATGAATAGTGTGTACTATACACTTTCTCATTAAAGGATCACATAAAGCACTAACCTTGAAGATGTATAAGATAAAGTCAAAAACAAAACAAAGAATGAAAGAAAGTTTATAAAAATGTACCCGAGCAAATAGCTCCTCCCTCATCCATGGAACTAGATACTTCCATGGCCATATATCTAATGTACTCACTCCCCTTGACTTAGGCTTTAAGCGCCGGGTCATCTGAGTAGCTGAAGATAGATTTGGATGAACAAGAAATCGAGCTGCAACTTCCACAGAAAATTCATAGGTGCTAAAGACTCGGTCAACTGGACTTCTTAGTATGGTCACCACTGATGTCCTCTCCTTGGGAAGTTTTGACATCATACTATAATCATCGTGAGTAACCATCAACCTGCAGTTGGGTTTGCTGAAAAAGAAGCAATTTAGAAAAATAGCTATATGGGAAGTTCACATAACAATAACTTCTTTTGGTTACTTCAGTGAGAACAGACTTTGAACCACATCAGGGAATTAATTAAAATATTGTTAAGCATTAGCCTATCTATATAAAAAAAGTTGTTAGTAATAAGTCCAGGATGCTTTAATACAGATGTTAATATAGATGTGAAGAACAACATAACTCTCTCTCACTCTCAAAGAAAGGACATAAATACATGAAGGACATGGTTTGGCATTCCACATTTCTAATCTTCTTGACAAAGCGATGAGTTCCACAGCGTTCAAGGCATCATGTTTACAGTCATTACAATTGCATCCAAATATATTTACTATAATATGCTACATATTACGATATGATTGATTCAGGATTCATATTTTAAAAAGGCCATACTATACAATATTGTGATAAACAAAAAAAATGCCAATGCATTTGTTTGTATTTAATTGATGTTGCATACCAGACGTGATCCATCAATCAAATGATGAGTCCCAGTGAGTGCTAGGAGTTCGAGCATCAAATGCAGTACTACGGAGCAAACTTGTAGCCTACACTGAATGTACTATGTTGTATAGTATGAATGGAACTGCTATAATATGTGCCCTCCCTCTCAGGGTGTGAACATACATATTAGTTGTAGTCAAAGCATCAATTTACTGGATGGATATTTTTTGAGAATGGCCTGGGGCCTTGGCGGTAGTATTGCCCAGCTTCATGGTGAGGTCTCGGACTCCATTCTCACCAAAGGATAGGGACCCAAATCCCCACTGACATTCCCCTTTTTTAAGTACCCAAAAACAAAACATAGAAATAAGTATATGCGTGTAATAGGAAGAAGAAAGATAAATCCAAAACTGAACCCCTATTAACACTGCCAATAAAACTAGTGAAAACAGGAAAGCAAACAAAATTCATGGAATACTAAGATACAACCTAAAAAAAAAGATAAAAAGACTTTGATTTCAAATAGACATTGGTTACCATCTGTTAGCAATTTTGATCCATAAAATGGATTCATGATTAGTAATGTAACAACCAAGACCCAAAGGGAGAGTCTCATCACAAAATAATGCAAAAATCCTCTATAGATACAAACAGCTTAAAGAGAAAATTTTTTACCTTGGATCAAACCTTAGCTTGTCATATGAACGGGGGCATTCCTGACTGCTAGTGTACAGTTTCCTCAAGAAGCTGCATAAACAAGAATACCCTCAAAACATTTTGGCAAATTATAAGACCATAAAATTGAGGTGTGTGAGAGAGAGAGAGAGAGAGAGGATGCTTTACTTAAAAGAAAACAACTACGTCTTAGATTTCTTCGAGCACAGAAAACCATAGTACTTGCCAGTGAAAATATGTGCGTCCTCCAGTCCTCGGTATGTGGAGAAAGAATAGCAAATCCTGCAACTTCAGTTTATCCTCTTTGTTTTTAGCATCAAGCGAGGAAGCAGCCCAGTTCTTGACCATGGTATTACAGATATCAAAATCATCCTCGATACAAGATACAGTTGTCGATGCAAATGCTGAAAGGGTTCATAAATTGCTTCTTTCAGTGCCAATTCTAAAATGATAACACTCAGGATCACAAATCTAAATCTATAAAGACCAAGAAAAAAGAAACAAAGCAGTGGCAGTGCTTTTGACTTGGATTAAAACCAACCAGCACAAATGATTTATAGGAGCACCACATTGTCACTATGAAGGCATCTTAGACATTTTGGAGATTGCAAAAACTCAAAAGTATTTTTTAGTTCTTGGTCATTGTAACTTCCCAAGTGTAATACACATAAAACAGAAAAAGCCAAGCTCTCATATGCATAGAAGCAATCAGGATTTTCATTCATAATCAACCAATGCAATTAGCTTGAAACATAAAAAAATATGAGAAAACAAAATAACAGCAAATAGAAAGCAAAAAATCAGTCTTTTATCTATTAATCATTTACTTCAGTACCCCAGTTACAACTTGTTTTAGACGCCCTGGCTTTTACTCTTGAGTTACATGACAGCATAAAGAACAAATAGCACAACCCAAAAAGATTAAACTGGAGAGGGAAACAATTGAATCTCTATTTATACACATAAGAAATACCACTTCTAACAATTGAGCAAAACAAAAAGAAATGTTGAGCACTAGAAAAGACTGAAATTGGAAAACACTGATCTTTAAATGAAAAATGTCAGAACCCAATTGAAATTCTGCATCAGACATTGCGTAAAAGACTCGAAAGAAATAAAATGTCTAGGTCCATGAAAAATTTGCCAAAATGCCAGTTCAAATCTAGAGGAAACAAAGAATAGCCCTCTTCAATACTTACCAATCACCATTATCACTGCTAAGGCCTCAGATTTAAAGAGAGAAACCATGATTCCACACCCCGGAAGAACAAGAACCAGAAACTACAATATCAACTTCATATACCTAAACAAAAAACCAGCAAAAAAAAAGAAAAACCCATCAAAATCAAGAGAAAGAAATGGCATTAATCGATTTAGAAGAACAGGAACTGACAAGCAACATAGGAAACTAACACAGAAAACACATTTGACTCCAAGGCCAATAATTAAGCCATTAAAGGACATAATTTAAAATCATTTTTATCTTTCTCTTTCATACCTGGCTCAGGTCACGAGATCTATTGAAGTTTGAGCATTGAAGGAGGATGTTGGTTATTTAGGGAGCATATACCCATCGAAATTCGAAGTATATGGGACTTAACCAGACAACCCCACAACCTCAAAAGGGACCACAAAGTTACAGAACTGCGGTTTTCCTCATAGCCACCTAGAGAGAGAGACAGAGAACATGATTCTTAGAATGAATCCAAAGTGAAAGAGAGAGAAGTTATGAGTGAAAAAATCAAGTTCCCCACATGTTCCTTTACGTTGGAGGAGGTAACAGACAAACCCACGATTTCCAAAGGGACCACCTCTAGAGAGAAGGCCAAGAGCCTCGGTTTTTATGAGGCCCCGTCAGAGAGAGAAAGCGGGAAATACCCTTTAGAGAGAGAAAGACCAAGCTCTAGAGAAACAATGGGAATACCTTTTAGAGAGAGAGAGAGGCAACAAGGTCTGGAAAGATACTGCATAAATGAGAATGCACTCTAGAGATAGAAAGAAGGCGCCAAAGCTCTTGACGAGAGACTGAGAAATACGACTGGAGAGAGAAAGAAGCCCCCAGATTCACAGTGGGGAATATCCTTCAGAGAGAGAATCGAGGCGCGAAGCTCTAGAGAGAGAAAATCAAATACCCTTTAGAGACAGAAAGTACCGAATACTTTTAGAGGGATAAACAGGGCGCCAGACCCTAGAGAGAAAATGTGCTAGAGAGAGAAGCGCCAAACTTAGAGAGAGAGAGAGAATAATTCTAGAGAGAGAGGCGCCAAACTTAGAGAGAGAGAATAATTCTAGAGAGAGAGGCACCAAACTTAGAGAGAGAATAATTCTAGAGAGAGAGACGCCAAACTTAGAGAGAGAGAATAATTCTAGAGAGAGAGGCGCCGAACGTAGAGAGAGAAAATAGGAGAGCATGCTTCGCGCGTATGTCCCAAACTTCGCGCTGAAGCGGATCAAAACGGTCGATGTGTTTTCCTCCGTTTTCTAATGGAAAGTACAAAGTCAAGTGTGTATTTCTAGAGGGAGGGAGAGTATATTTTTAGAGAGAGAATTCCCTATTTGCCCTGGGATTTACTTGGAGGGGTCGGTATTTTGGGTATTTTTAGAGAGAGAAGGTGACAAACTTGATGTGTTTTTGTAGAGAGAGAGAGCTTTCCCCATTTGCACTTGGTTTTGGGTTGGACGGGTAATTTGGGTATTTTAGGAAAGATCAGAGAGTTGCCCTTCCCCATCGTATCGGGGAATGATAAGGCGGTTGTTGAGTATTCTTGGAGAGAGAGAAATACGTAATTTCTCATTGGTTTTGAGTTGGTCATTGGGTCTTCTAGAGAGAGAGAGAGGGACCGGTTTGGCTTGGTGCAGTAAGATTTTGGAACTTGGATCATTGAGTATTTTAGGAGAGAGAGAGTTCCAAAAGGAGGCATGTACTGAGAAAATATAAGTTGGGTTGTTGAAGTATTTTAGAGAGAGAGAGAGAGCTGCCAATGTGCCCCTCACTCTCCCTCTCTCTCTCTGAATGCTCTCTCTCTCTCTCTCTACATTGGAAAGGGTGTTGGAGTGTCTATAATCTCAATGTCAATAATCCATTATGGTCTCTTTGTGGGGTTATGGAGAATGGCAAGAGAGATAATGCCATAACTTGTGATCTTTAAGTAATTTAAGAGAGAAGGAATTGCTCCTGTGAGCTAGGTGGATTTGGAGAATTTTTGACAGAAGTAAAAAGTCAGCACACAGATGTTTTGGGTTATTTTAGTCATTTTTATCTAATTAATATGTAAAATTGTTTCTGGACTGCATTTTTACCTATGCAGTCTAAAAAAGTGGGTATTCCATCTAAACGGTTCAAATGTTTTATTATTAAAATTATTATTTTTAGTTTCAAAAAGTTATTTATTTTTTCATGTTCATGATCTCCATGTTAGAGATTACATGTCCTTAAAAATTAATCTCAAAAACAAATTATTAAGAGGCCCATATTTCTACATATGCAGGCTTGGTCGCATAGAAACCGGGTTCAATTAATATTTATATTTAATAGTTGCACCCTTTTTAGATGTATAGACACTCTTAATTTTCATGTAAATAATATTTTGTAATAAAAATAGTTAACGATTAACTAACCTCAATTAGTGGAAAAAATGCTTTAGTGATGAGGTGTAAAAATAGTTAACAAAATTAATTTGTAACCCTCAAATATGCCTTGATTGAATCTGCATCACTGGAAGTTGCTTGTTGCTTGCGAACCTTTCAAGCATGCTTATGCACCTTTCAAGCGTCAACTTGATGGGAAGACCATACCATTCTTTAAAAATAGCATTTTGCCTTAACAATGCAGGATTTCTTCCCTTATTATGCAGTTTTTAAGAGATGAGATCATGCTAAGGGTTCAGTTTAATTTAAAGTATTTATATGCAAGTCTATTATCCACCCTTCTAAGTATCTTTAAAGTTTAGGACTTCTCTATTTCAACTAGTTGAAGTATGTAAAGTTGAAATAGTTGGAAGACACAATTTCAGTGTTAGAAACTCTTAAAATGGCTGGAAAATCTATTTCCACCCCAAATTTTGAAATTTTAAGCTCTAAAATGATTCAAGTCGAATAGATCTATGAACAATTGAAAATCTTGAAAATGGACAATAATTAAAAGTTGCGGTATTTTATAACTTGAAATCATTTTTTTTAGGGCCCATACAACTCGAGGTCGAAACAATCAATCAAAGGGTTTTTGAACATCGGAACGACCATTTCATGTGGATTATTCGAGACGCACTTTGCTTTTTATAGCACAAGGTTTATGCCTTATATAAACTTATTTCATAAAGAAAGGGTGAAAAATACCAATCTGGATCGGAACGACCAATTCGAATCGTAAATAGTTGAAAACTAATCTAGTTCCCACTAGGAAGCAGGAGTTGGCTGACTCCCCATATAACTTGCCTATTATGCAGGGAACTGACAGATTGCGCAATTCCCAAATTTTCAAATTTGTATTATTTTTTTATTTTATTTTTATTTTTTTATTTTTTATTATCTAATTCTCTCGGGCTGATCAATCCTACCCCAAAAGAGATGAGTATCTAGAAAATTCTACCCAAGGGTGGACAGAAGTAACATCCCCAAAAGAGCACATTCATCCTTTTGTTCCCACGGAAGATGATAGTGAAAGGACAAAATATCGATGATTTTTTATAGGAAAGAGAAAATACAGGGAACATAGCCCGCTAGAAAAGAAAAAATGGATCGGATTGGAACACCCAGGAGATTTACTTACCCCAAATTCTTTAGATGGGATGAACAAACTTTTTTTTTCAATAAATTGTATTTTATTTAGAAGAGAATTACTTAAACATGGATAGAGCATAATGACAAATCAAGATTTGTATAGCTGATCCCAAATAGTTAAAAAAAGACTCTGATGGTGATGATGACTTTATTTTTTTGGATAAATTTTGAGTTCTTAAAGAGCTATATAACTACCTATGAAATGGACACCATGCACTTGTTTTGTTGAGCTTGCGACAATTATTTTTTGGAGGTTTTTACTCCTTTTTTTTGTAAGCATCTCTATCAAAGGCAGGAGGATGCATGTGCCAAGTTTGGGGCAGAATATGTACCCTAACGCCACAAGGAGGGAGGATCAACCTAGTCATCCACCCAAAAGCAAATAAAATGCATTCTTTGGGAAAACTAACCATGGAATATATTTTATATTTTATTTTTAAGATAAAAACAAGACTCATATAACCAACCCCAAATAGTTGGATAAGACTCAAATGATGATGATGATATCTTTTTAACGATTGCAACTTTGGTTGGGCAATTGGCTAAACCCACCAAGTCCAAATCAAAACAGGTCACATATTTAACTCCAAAACAAGTCACATATTGGTTTTGATCGCATTCAAATTTTATTTTGGACAATATCACTCAAAACACCTGTTTGTGGTTTTGATCAAATCCAAATCAAAATGGTCTACTACAAATCCTGATGTCATTCTCAACATCAAACCAATTTCAACTCCCTCTCTCGCTCTCTCACAAAAACGTACTTAACAAAGGTGGTTACTTGCACACGCATGGTTCCATATGACATCACAGAAAATCCTGCAAACAACCCTAGGGTGCGTGGGTAAGAAGGTTATATAGTAGTTCTGAAATTGAAAATCTTATTCCACACAAAGAATACACTCAAATACAACTAATACAAAAACAAATTCAACTAAAATAATTATAAGTAGCAAATAACACTGACAAACACACGAATTTTTGCTCATGATATGTGAAAAGCTGAAGCCTCAATTAATACTTACAATTGATTCATCAAAGAATGGATGGATAATTCCACTGTAATTATAAAATTTACAGATCTTTAGCAGACCCCCCACAAGAGAAAGAACCAGCATGACCAGATTGAGAGCTTCAGCTATAATTGGTGACAGATTTTTTACCAAACTAAAATAGATTATAGAGAAAATACAGACCTGGTTGTGGCTGCTTTCAGAATAAATTGGTACTAGTGCAGCAGCTCCCATGATCCATATTTTCATGTCGTAACAGAATCTCAAATGGGAAATCAAGGAATTTTTATAATTTTCTGTGAAAGAGGAAAAATTATCACTTGGCCAACACCGATTTGGAGGCTTCGAGGTGGTTGAGGCGGCAGGTTCCCAAGAGGAATTCTGGGAGTTCTTCTTCCGAGTTTCCCTGAAGATGGCAAACAGTTCGTATTTAATCTCTCTCTCTCTAATAAATGGTAATATAAGTGGACCCCAGCCCTCAGATCTTAATCGGATGGTTGAAAATGCATGTCATTATTTCAATTTTAATATTTTTTCTACAAATCGGATCGAGATGAAATTTTGGGTATGTGTACCAAAAAATAGAGTGCACAACAAAAAATTATAAAACATAATTCTTTCTAAAATTTATAAGGATCACGAGGGTAATTTGGTCATTTTTTATTCTTGAAAATATTATTTCTATATTTTTATATGGTGCACGATAGTGCTTAAGCATATACACCCAAAATTTCATCTTAATCTGATTTGTAGAAAAATATTCAAATTTAAATGGTGACGTGGACTTTCAACCACCTGATCAAGATTTTGACGGTTGGGATTCCACCTATATTACTATTCATTATAGGCTGCATATATAAATGGGTACAATTTGTATAGAGCCTAGGCTCTAAATAATCAAAGTAAAGCGCACCTTCAAATAGGGTTAAGAAATGTGGTTTCAATACTGGAAATATTTGTGGTGGCCTTAAAATATATTTTCATCTTTAATTATAAAATTTAAACCTTAAAAATAATGTAGATCGAGCAGATCTATGAAAATTTAAAAATCTTGAAATTTGACAGTCCAAAAATGCGTTACAAGATGCATTATTTCCAAAACTTAAAAATTCATTTTTTTTCTCAAGTCTATGCATCTTGATGTCGATATGATCAATTTGAGGATATTTGGGCATCAAAACAACCTCTTCTAATGAAATTTTTGAGGTGGGCTCTAATTTGATTGTTTAGAACCTCGGCTATATATAAACTTTTTCTTATATATATATATATATATGGAAAAAGCTAACAAACACCGGCAACTATAATAAATAGTAATATAGGTGGAATCCTAACCGTCAGATCTTCATGATGTGGTTCAGAATGCATATCACTATATGAATTTTAATATTTTTCTAGAAATCGGATCATAATGAAATTTGTAGTGTTTGTACTAAAAAATAGGGCGCACAATTAAAAAATATTTCCAGAAATATAAAATGATCGAAATACCCCTAAAAAATGATGGGGGTAATTTGGTCATTTTAAATTATTGAAAATAATTTTTAAATATTTTATATGGTGCGTAAGTGTTGGGAAGGTTTACTATATATATATATATATAATATGACAGTTTACAGCACTAGGAAATAGAAATATAGGAAATAGATACCAAAAATGACTTATACCTTTACAGACAACAACTCTCTCCTCTCTCTCTCTCTCTCTCTCTCTCTCTCATAATAAAAGATAATTTTGTGGCACTTGGAAATGAAATATAGAAGGGAAATGATCTAATGCAACGATTGTATAGTAGTATAATGCAATCACACTTCTAGAAAACCATATTTTTGGCATTTGTATGACCTCAAATTTTGCACACACATTCTCTTCATCCTCATAATCAATCCTACGAAAAAAAAAATTAAATTTGCACCTGAGACATGTCAAAATTAGTACCCATCCAACAATGAATCTCGACCATCCATTTGGTGAATTTCAAGATCTAGGCCCTAACAAATTCAAAATCACTTTTTTTTTTTTAGCATTATTAATCTAATGATCATAACGCTAAATAAAAATTTTGGGAATAAAAAAATCCTTTTGAGGCCTATATCTAACCATCTCAATAAAATGGACGGCTTATATTAATTCGCCGGGAATGAAAACTTTCTAGAGCATTTTTTCAAAATTTTCTTTTTTGTGATTGTTCTTCAAAATGAAAAGAGAGTACATTTAAAAATTTGTGTCAAACAAATGTCTTTAACATGGTTTTTTAAGATGGTCGCATTATACTACTATACAACTGTTGCATGAAATCATTCCCCAATATAGAAACGATCCTAAAGAAGCTCATACCTGTATAAGAAATGCCATTTCTATCACCAGATTATTCAGATAACCGAGGACCAGACTAACCACACCCCTTGCAACTGTTGATGAGCCAACATCTACACCAAGCTGAAATTTGAAGTGTCACATCTCAAAGCCATGCATATGAACGTAAATGAACAAAGATAAATACACATGCACACATAAGGCCCGCCCTCAGAATCCAACTTTTTGATGGATTGAGGACCTAGAAACCATTCCAAACCCCGGAAAATCCATTCACCCCAAGAAAAATGGATTTAGAGCTCCAAGAATGGTCCAAATCTGGCTGATCTATGATCAAAAGAAAGAGATAGTCTAGATCCCATGTTGAGATGGCATTCAAGATGGAGGATGTCTATGAAGAAATGAGGGGATGCCATACTTTTTCCTCTAAGACAGGGGCCATACAATTACTTTTCCAAAACGCAAACATACACGAGTTGAGTTACTAAGATTGAGCTCTAAGTAGGATTCTTGTATTCTGTCCTAATATTCATGCATCCATTGATTATATACATGCATATGTCTCTCTTCATATGCATGCATAGATAATTATCTGGTCAAATTAATGTCTCTTAAACAATGACACACACTTATGCTAGTGGAGGTAGAGGGACAATTAAATGCCATGATTACAAGTGTATGTGCACATGCACAAGAAAACATTTTACAGCATGCACACAACATGACCATACAATTGGGTGCAAGGTTTCGGAGATTAGATAGCGGAGATAAAATGTGATACATATACTTAATCTAATGAAATATGGAAAACCATAATCCGTATGGTCATCACTATCCATTGAAATGGAGGAAGAGAGAGAGAGAGAGAGGACCCACTGATGAGACCATGTCCTCTTCTGGTGGATCCCGCTCGTCACTATATGTGGGAGAGTGATGAGTGGATAGTCCATTGTACCACAATACACTTTATAAACACATGGGAAAAAGATAATTACCTCCAAGTAGTTCTTCCCTTGAAAGTAATTTATTTCCAAAGCTTGACCAACCAAGCATGCCTTCTTCCCTACGCTCTGCTTCACTATCCATGAACCCTAAGACAAGTCCCACCAAAATTACATAAGTGGAAGCACAATTTCACAGGTTGTTGAAAAATAATCGCAACAATTAACTACCAGGAAATTACCTTAGAGATATATGGAATTAGTTTAAATCTGGAATTCCTATATGCATCATCTTCCTTGATAAATCTCTCTAGCAAAGGAACTTTTTCTACAGGTGTGTCCATCATATAATATAGTGCAAGGGAATATGTCGTTGAACCAGGGACCTAAGAACAAAGAGGTGAAAAACATAGACAAAGCATGCAATATTAGTAAGAAAGAAAGAACCTCAATAAAAATTTTAATTTACCTGTATATTAACAATGACGAAAAACTCATTGCCTCCTTGCGCAGCATATTTCTGTATGACCCAAAAAAACAATGAAGAAAATTACTTGTAGAGAAAAAAAAAGAAGAAAAATTGTATAGAATTTCAATATAGGATAAGTACACTACACTGTGGAAACCATTGTCCATTAGGATCACCACCATCCAATGAAATGATGGTGATGATGGAGAAAACATGGGACCCCCAGTACAGGATTTGTTTAGGTCTATACTACACTGTAATCTGCAATCCATTGGTTTATAGTACAGTCTCGTAATAAATCACTATGACTAACTAGATTTTCACCTGAACAAAGCTTCCCGGGCGGCCGGCAAGATCATCCTCCCTTTTATCAGACTTGAGCCAATCGGCACCGACCATTTGCATCAAAGTGCTCTTTGCCTTTATCTGATGAGTGTATAGATGACATTAATGTAAACGAATTGGAGTATCCATGTTAATGTACAAAGGATATAAAAAAGAAGAACTCAATGGCAAGAGAAACTTATGAGAATTCAATAGTTAAAACATGACCAATAACAAATCCATTGTTAAAACACATGATTTCCATTGCCTTTTTCTCTAGGGAAATTATTTCATGATGCCACAGTTGCATAAGGATGCACCTCAAAAGACCACCTTGGATGGACTGAGGACCCGAAACGTCTCCTGATCACATGCAAATCCAGTTCCATCCTAACTGTGGAATTTGGAACTCCAGAAATGAAGCAGACCTGGTCGATCTATGAAAAGATGGTTCACAAGAAGTGGCGCAAAATGGACCATTTTTAGGGCTCCAACTCCAAGATGGAAGACAGAGGTGCAGCTTCATGCAACTACTATCGAGCCAAGACCTCCCATTTTCTTTGTTCAACTTAACAGTAAGTGAAAAAAATAGGCAAATGGAGGGATAGGGAGCATTGTAGAAAATGTCATATGTCAGGAATAAAATTTCAGGATTGACAAGTTGGGGCCCAACTTTCTTCCTTGCACAAAGGCACCTGCTTTACTTTTTGCTTTGTTAAGCACAAAGAAATAGGAGATTGACACCTTAGCACTCTTCTTGAACAGTCATTTCACAACTCTTCTTTAATCACCTCCACAATGTAAGCCTTTCCATTTGTAAGATGGGTTTAGACACACTAATTTGAGAATGAAATGTGTATAATTATAAAGAGTGGCTGTTTTAGACCTCAGATTTTTAGTGTTAAGACCATTACCACACAAATACAAGGGTTTGAAACTGATGTGGCTAGGCTAAGTCACTAATAACGAAGTTGGTACGAATGCGCTGGAAACAGGTAGTTGGAAACTTGGACTCGAGCACGGAGCCAGGTAAGGACTGAGCCCAGTCAGCTGGTCTTATGAGACCCTTGGAGTCTATTAAAAAATAACACAGTAATCTAGGGAACTGGTAAGATTCAGACAGTTCCCAAGGTTTTTCAACAGATCCAGGCACCTTGCCAGGTCTGAGTAACTCAGGCAAGTCCGAATCAGACTGGACAAGTTTAAAAACATTTCTTGAAACAATAATCCCATAGTTAAAGAGAAAATGTTTTGTTACATAATATAGTTTTGGCACTCTCACTCTAAACTTGGGCTCTTGGCTATACTTTTATTTTCTTAGGCTTGTAGCACCTAAGAAGGATATGCTCTTTGAACATTTTCTTGAGTTAAATATCATATAGTTTTTTCCTTATTTAGAAAAAAGAAAAACTCATGAAACAGAAAGAATGATAAACAATACCTTCTCATGGTCTTTCAGGTAGTTCTTTCCACGAATGAGAAATGTGGAAGGGTCAGCTGTTGTCCAACTGCATGGCATAGAACAGGTTGCATCCTTTGGAAGAGTTGCTCCATAGCAGCATGATGTTTCCTCCTCTTCAGACACTTCTCTTAAATCTATGTAAGGCCTCCTTTGGACTGCGACATGAAAAACTAACAGGTTAAAGCACAAGTCAAATATAAGAACGCATACTATAGATTAATCAGATTAGAGCTAACCATGGATCACGGTGGAGCCATAAACATCCAATACAATGATGGAAATGATGGAGAGAGTGGGATCCACCATACATGGAACTCTCTCTCTCTCTCT